TCTAGAAGGACCCAATGTCCCCCTCCAGACTGTGTCCGGGGATATCCACATAGGGAGAGGGAAAATTAAACGTTGACATCACGTTTGGAAGTGCTATCTACTATCACACGGCGTATGTAGCAAATATTAGACACCCTTTCATACTCGAGTTAGACTTTCTAAAGAAATACAATTTTTCTTTAGATTTTAAGAATAACGAATTGCATGCTGTCTCTGAAGACATAAGCCTGTTCGAATTAAAGAGAAAAAGTGAAGGAGTTAAATCAGTACTGCAAATCATAGCTCAAGATGCTATGGCAGTACCGCCAGGAACATAATTTTTCTACCTGGATCCATAACTGAAAACAGAAATTTCCTCTACGGCATAATGGAATATCCTAACATCGCTTGATGAGTATTAGTAGCCTCGGCACTTGTCGACTCACCGTCATCCCGGTAAGAGCTGCCAACGTAACTGATAAGGCGAAAGTCATTAAGAAAGGTAAAGCGGTTGCTGTATGTACTCCAGTGTCCTACGTTAAATAAACCTCAAATACTTCAGTATCTGTATCTTCGGAGAGCCTAACATAAGAGTTACTGCAGAATGCATAACTAAGCAATGAAAAGAGGAGTGCCGAAGAGCGTGACATTCCTAATTTCAAGATCTTGTAGAATCATTAGGTTCAGAAGTCAAACAACAAAAATCAGCGTTATATTTACAAAATTTTCACAGGACTAGTTTCGATGGTTTTACCGAACCACCATCCTCAGCTGCAAAACCACAAATGAACAAGATAGGAAATACTGATTAGATAAGATAAGAAAGCTTGGACAAGAATACGCAAGTGGCGCCATCTGTTGGTGTCACCAACAGGTTATTTTGGAGCAGGAGACATGAAAAATGAGCAGCACCCTTGCCGGGACTCGAACCTGGAACTCTCGAATACGCGCCAAATGTGCTGACCGTTACAGCTTGAAGGCACTCCCTCTTTTAAAGGGAGAGTGGGGATTAGGGGACCCAGTCGTTAAATCCTGGTGGTAAAGAATAATCATCTCTAGCATTTTAGTTCGGGCGCCAATGTAGCGTCATTAGGTTTCTATATGCGGGAAACGAAAAATGAACAATGCACTCACCGGGACTCGAACCTGCACATCCCTAAGCCGAGCGTGTTACCGTTACACCACAAAGGCACGTCGAAAGGAGGGACAACGTGCCCTATAATAATTTTTCCTGCCCATCTTCTGACGTAGGTCAAAAACGTTCTGACGTAGGATTCAGCATAGAATTAATATGAGAGATCGTCCACCAATCAAGCAACATCCAAGACGTCTACCGATTGCTAAACTGGAGGAAGTAAGAAACCTTTTAAAAGGCATGTAGGAAAGCGACGTTATCGAGCCTTGAGCAAATCCTTGGGCCTCTGTTATAGTCCTGATCCGAAAGATAGCTGGTTCGACTAGATTTTGTTTTGATTATCGCCGGTTCAACGAGGTCTCGAAGAGAGACAGCTACCCTCTTCCAAGAACTAACGACTTTCTGCCAGCAAGCGGATTTCGACACTTGATTAAAGAGGGTATATTGACGGGTAGAGATACACCCTGATAACCGAGAAAAGACGACATTTACTATTGGACAAAGTCTTTGGCAGTTCATTCGAACGCCTTATGGAGACCGTGCTAAAGATCTTTCCTACGAAGCTTGTATGATATAACATCATAATTGTATGAAAATGTTTTGAAGAATATCTGGAAAATATTAGGAAGGTACTCCGTAAATTGAAGGAAGGCAGTCTAAAGTTAAATCCTGCCAAATGTAAATTGTTCAGACAGGAAGTGACTTGCCTCGGACATGTAATCTCCGCCGAAGGTGTGTGTACAGATCCATAAAAAAAGTCAGCAGCTGCATATTGGAGATGTCTCGGAAATGTCCATCAGCTGAGAAGTTTCCTGGGGCTTGGCACATACTATAGGAGATTTGAAAGACGTTTCTTCCATTGCAAGACCCTTTCGAAAGTATATGGTCATACACACAGTCACTCTGCGGGACATTTGGTTGTTGTTGTCGTGTCCATATTACATGGAACAATGGTTGCCAGAGCCTACTCAGAAGATAGTTGGATTTCATTTTACCTCAATTTTGAGGGACAGCACCCCGGGGAATCTGGGGGTCTCTCACCCCTCTCCATTCCCACCAATACACACGAGAGGACTTTCGGCTCACCGTATATTTAGAGTGCCGCCATGCCTCAGCGACACTATACATTTACAAACATCCATGTCTTCTCCGAGATTCAAACCCGGGCCCTTGAAGAAGGCCCGGGTTTGGCTTCACCATAGTAGGCTCTCCTAACCACTATAAGCTAGTACAATAGGTCAGCAACAGAGTATGTGATATGTATGTACAATATGTAATTTTGTATTTATGCTGTGCCAGGTTTCATATATAAAGTTCGTACTGTATCGAATGCTGTAATGTAACTGTAACATGTTTTATCTTTTATTTATGGTCCTAATCATACTAAGGACACGATACCTCAATGCATGCTTCTTGTAAACTTTACTATATGATAACTATATGTAGGGTGTATATATCAATATGAGTGAGATATGTATATTTTATTGTTTCGAATATCTATGTATGTAGTGTTATATATATCTTATATGAGTTGTTTTATATGTATACACCTATTTTTGATTGTGCTCTTCAAGTGCCTTGTATGCACATGTATATATTCTTTGACAGTGTTGTATATTCTTCAGGCCTTGTATGCACATATATATATTCTTTGTACATTGTTGTATTCTCTTCACGTGCCTAGAACATGTATATATTTCTTTGTAATTGTGGTACCCTCTTCAAGTGTCTTATGCATAGTATATCTCTTTTTTGCATTTATAAGTCGTCTGCTAGCCGGGGCTGTCCGGGCTGCGCTGTAGCTAGTGTTGACCCCGCCGAGTTGGTAACTAATTCTGCATGGATATATCTATACCTGGGTCGGAAGCCAACTCAGCGGTTTACCTCCCCTAACCACTGTACGGGACGATGAGACATTTTGTCCTTTATATCATTGCACAGATTGCTAACTATATTTGCCTATCTTGATTGCAGATCTCAGGTTCTTATTTTCAAGATCTCAAGTTAAGTACCTTGTCTTTCATAAATCCTACCTCTCATGAAAGAATATTGCAAAAATCTAAATCGGAATTCAATGGCCTTAATATTTCATAATTATGGCGTTATATGCAGCAGTTGTACACCGAGTAGGAGAAAAAAAAGGGAAGAGATTGGGTACAGTTCTACACTCAAGAGCCAAAACATTATGACCAGCCCTACATTTTGCGATGAACGCGCCTGGATGACGTGGAAGGCACGTGATCAGGTGGAAGTAGTATTTAACTGCTGCTGGAGAGTATGAAGAATCATTCTTTCATTTACTTCTGTGTGTGATGGGAAAGACTGCGATCTAAGCGACTTTGATAGAGGCAGATTGTAATGGCTCGAAGGCTCGAACAAGTATTTCCGAAACTGCGACTAGTGGGTTGTTCGCGATCTACAGTTGTTAGTACGTATGAAAAGTGGATGAATGATGATGAAACAGCATTAGACGACATGTTGGACGTCCACACTCTATCAAAGAAAAGGTCGTCGGAGACGTCTCGCCTGGTGAAGCAAACCGAGCCAGACAGTGGCTCAGCTGACAGTCGAATATAATGCGGCCAAGTAGAAAAGTATGAGCACTGTTCAGCGGACACTGTTGGATGGGCTCGCAGCAACGTCCACTCGTGTGCCTTTGCTGACCAGCGTCACGCCAACGCGCCTGCGCTGGGCCCGGGAATATCGCGAGGTTCATGGATCAGTGGGAGAGAGTTGCCTGGTCAGATGATCACGGTTTGTCTTCATACGCCGATGCCACAGCATGTGGCCGTATCAGGATACGCTGTCCCCAGCGAACAGTTGCTCCGTCAATGCCAGTATGTCATACACAGGCCGGGGTGCGGTATTATGCTCTGGTGACGTTTTCTTGGGCGTCTCTGGGACCCTTGTTGTGGAGGGCACATCATGAATGCTACAGGGTATCTGACCATCATAGCGGACCATTGCAACCCTTACATGGCCCTTTGTTTTTACAGCTGGAAATGATGTTCCAACAGGACAACGCCCCGTGTCACAAGGTCAATTAGTTGGAGTGGTTCCAGGAACATGATGCTGATTCCAGTTAATGTCCGGCCTAAACTCACGGATCTCAATCCGATATCAATTTGGGAGTCATGAGACGGCAGCTCAGAGGTCAAAGACCACCAATTCGCAATATCTCGGATTTGCGGTGACCGTTGCTACACATCTGGTACAAACTGTCTCCGGCCATCTATCAAGGACTTGTGGCATCCATGCCAAGGCAGGTTGAAGCTGTGTTGCGCGCCAAAGGTGGCCCAACTCGTTATTGACAGATGGTCATAATGTTTTGGCTGTTGAATGTATATCTTCTTTTCTACTGGGTCGATTTACGAAATTCAGCTAGCATTTGTCATGCCTCGAAAACGTGACTTAGAATATATATTAAACTTATAGATAATGTTGTTTCTAATATGCGAATTTCGATGAGAATATGATTTGGCTCACTTTTTCACTTTCCCCGTGAGTGGTCACTTGGCGAACTTCTGAATTTATGTTAACCTTTTCTCCTTTCACATTTATTTTACACATGTTAAAAAAAATGGTGTATAGTTTACTCTTCCCTGAAATTATTTTTACTTTATATATATTTTTTTAATCACGAAGCTTCTTTTTCCAAGATAAATGTGAACCGTATTAATATTTTTGGAAAATAACAGATAATTTCACAGAAAATTAAAATGAAAATGATAATAACTTTCTATATTTCAGTATGGTCTAAAGTTGAACTAAATTCCTAAAATTATTTTATATGTCATTTGGAAAAAAAAAAAAAAAAAAAAAAGCTTCTTTTGTCATCGTCAAAATATGTATAAACTGCTTTTACAGAATTTGACTTCTTTTCCAGGTGCAAGAGTTCTATTTACTTATAACACAGAGGCAAATGCCACAGAAACGCTTACGTATATATTTAAAAATGTGCCAACTGCAGATGTTTCAGCAAAATATTTAAATTTAGCATCATTTTCATCTATCTATAAATTTGCTAATGAAATACTGGAAAATGAAAAAAAAATTCATATTCTTATGAATAACGCAGGTAAGATACTTTCAGTATTTAATTAAAATATTTTAACACTGTTGTGATAAAAACTGCGGCCATTTATTAAATTAAATCAAAAACTTACATTATTTTGATTAAATATATGATATTTAATCAGATAGCCCTTAGGCAAATAGCCCTTAAGTATTTTTTTTTTTCATTTTTCGAGTTATTTTCAGGTTTAAAAATAATAAGCATATAATATAATTTTAAAAAAAATTTAAGAGAAATTTCATATTGTGACTATCACAATACATTTTTTCAGTAACATGTATTTTACAACCTCATTAAACCTCTGATTCATGAACTCAGAAAAAGGAAAGATGAAATTCTTTGCTTTGTCTGCAATTTATACCTACTTCAGAATTAAAATGAGCAGTATTTTGAGCCAAAAGCCGTTAGCCCAGAACGGTTTTAACTTCGTTTTGGTATTTTGCGTCGAAAACTGTAAACGTTCACTTTTCAAATTGTTGCCAACAAATATTATCGCCGTGATACATTTAAAGAAAATAAATAATGAAGAATCTGCATAAATGTATGTATGTTTTTTCGCATTGTGATAAAACAACGGTATCTAGAGCCATAATATTTTGAATAACGTAATCCTCCACTGAAAATGGGCATATGGAAACCCTAATTTGGAATTCTTTTTATTATCTATTTCATATTTTGTCAGACATTAAAGAATTTTTTATTAACCAACTCAACGATTTCAAAGCGACCAATGGCAAGACTGTACAGCGGGGAAAAAAAAAAAAAAAAAAAAATTATCTCCAGTACGCGAGATTGTGTATCGGAAATTCTAAAAATATGCTCTTTTAAATATTTCGTGATATTCCTTTCGAATTGAATTTTATGGTTAAAGTATGAAGAACATGATATTTAATAAGTAAAGGTAACACACGAAACATTAAGAAACGCCCCTTTGGGCGTAATATAAAATAATTTTTTAATTGTTGTCACCAAATATTATCGCCCCGTATTATATTTAAAGAAACTAAATAATGAAGAATCTACATGAATATATGTATGCTTCTCGCATTGTGAAAAAGCAGCGGTACCTAGAGTGATCAAATTTTGAACAACATAGTCCTCCACCTAAAGATGGGCACCTGGAAGCCCGATTCCTATTTTGTAAATCTTTAACGAATATAGATACACAAAGTCAACAGTTTCAAAGCGAACAATGGCAACACTATGGGGAATAAAACATTTTTATCTCCAGCACGCGAGATTGTCTATCGGAAATTTTAAAGATATGCTGTTTTAAAATATATTTAGCACAATCTGGCGTTAGCTCAAATGCTATTTCTTATGAAAATTTCCAGTACAAAATTTGATCTTTTATAAGTAATTGTAAACATTTCACTATCTATCTGAAAGAATTTGAAAGGTATAGTAATAAATACATGCTAAATAGTGCGAAATAAAATACAAAAACAGCTTTCAAAGATTCGGTGTTAGAAGAGCGGTAGAAACCTATTCATTTATATATTCAAAGCTCCTTCTTCGGTTGCGATACTGATGTGTATTTAAGAATTTTGCGACCGGCATGTATACTCAGTGGCGCCCTATACTAGCCCGCCAACTGCTGGTCCTGTATGATGATGAAAAATGCAAGCTGGAAAAGTTTTTTCTCCTTGGTATCCCCACACGGGGATAGGTCCAGCATGCAGCTATTAGCAAAACAGAGATTCTTTGGATGAAGCGTGGTACGACTCCTGGGTCCTGTGTCGTTATTCGTCGAGCCACTGCAGAAGCGTCTACAGGGTTAAGGGGAGCCGCAACAATGGTCACCATGGTGACAGTCTGATGAATTGCAGACGTCGTCGCACTGTCTTTGAGAACACTTGTCGACCTGCACATAAGCCAAGCTCCTAACTCAGGCTTCATGATGCAACTGCACGATTCCGCGAGGACAACATGCCTGTATAGAACAACATGCCTGTACTCTCTCGGAAATTAGTAGCCGGGGTGCTGAGATAATGCATGGCGTTCAGTATGGGCTACTAGACCCATGGTTACATGGTAAAACTCCATGAAAAAAACTTAAATAAAACATCAATTTTATTAAGCTAAACGTGCGCAATGCATAATTTGCATATACGTATTTTGCAAGATCTCAATAAAGATCTTTTTTTTATTATTGATTTGCAGTTTGCAACAGAGGAGCAATAACTCAGAAAGATTAGTTGAGTTTTATCAAGTGGTCGATGCTGAAAAAAAAAGCATTGCGTTTAGAGTGTGAAAATTAATATTAAAATGCCCGTTATTACGCAAAAGATTGTCCAAAGAAACGCGAAAAGTCTCCTTAAAACGATTCGCAATTTATGCTTGCGGACAAACATTCAGAAATCTAGAATGAAGGCCTCAACGCTCGAAAAACCGAGTTCATTCTAAACATCAGTTTAATTTGCGTAATCCGTTATGAGCTCAAAGAAATTAATCCTGATCTCTGCAATAAAATTTTATTTACCAAAATTAGGCTGTTCTTCGTGCAGTTAAAGAAGTCCATATTGAGTTTTGTTATATGTAAGCTGAGTAACTCCCGTTTTTGTAAAAGAAGTTTGGGAATGAAAACGTTTTTGATTTATTCATAATTTTCTACAAACGGCATTTCAAAACGTTATATTGCTTTTGCGTTAGGAATTTGTTTAACAATAAAGATCTTTCTTAGGCACGTCATAGTATTATATGCAGGAACGTTTATACATTTATTTCTAGTTATCATGTTAATGCCTTTTTTTTTTTTTTTTTTAATTTTCAGTTGATATAAAAATGGTTCACGCAACTATGGACAATATAATATTGATCCGATATACCCCCAAATATGATATGAATTATGCATTTTCACTTAGTAATAAATGCGCAAAAACTTACTTTTTAGGTTTAGCAACAACTAAAAAAGAAACAGAAGAGGGTTTTGAATTATGCTTTGGAGTCAATTACCTAGGGCATTTTTTGCTGACAAATTTACTTCTGGACCGTTTGAAGGAATCAGCTCCAGCTAGGATCATAAACGTATCTTCCGTATTGCATTTCTGTAAGTATCGCAGATCATACCGAAAAATTTATTTGAGTACTATAGCTTAATATGATTTATTCGAATTTGAAATACCTTCAGCTTAGAGTCGTAGAAACCTTCATTCTTTCATTTAACTACTGCAATGTTTCGACTGCACTAAAGTAAGGTTCTAGCTTGAGACTTAAATATGAATATGCCAAAGTAGATTTTAGCTTTTATATGAACAATGCATTTATAAATCTTAATGTAGAAGTAGCAGGATATCTTTAAAAATTAAAAAAGCGACTCTCGTAAAGATAGTCTCAAGAGAATAGGCTAGAATTGGAATTTTAAAGAACCAATAATATAGATCTACTGCTGGCTGTGGAAATAGCAATAGTTTCATGTTAACAGAAGCAACGAATTATAGAAGTTGAACTAATATTGATTAAAACTAATAGATTAAATCAAAATTGTACATCGAATTTTACACCAATTACAGCAATTCTAAGTAATTCAAACTTTTTCATTTGCTGTACTACGCTAAGCAAATATATTGAAGTTATCACTAATCTAAAGTTTAACAGGTCCGTGCCATAATCTGTTGGTCAGTTTATTTAGACTTTGTAATACTGCTCTATGCCAATAATTGTTTGGCAGAAATATTTAACTAATAAACCTGATCTAGTAGGCCAACTCTATTCTTTCATATCTTTTGCACAGCGGCTTTAAATAGTTAAATTCAAAATTAACATAAGATAAACCCTGTTGTTTTTAAAGTTACTTTTCTTCATAAGGGCAACGAATGTTAGAAAGGAAAAACAAAAGTGTTTTACTGAAACTCAAATTGTTACTATAAATAATATAGAGAACCTTTTGACAGGAAGGAGGATCTATATATAATTAATGCATATGTTTGTGTATTTAAAAATTATGTAATATAATGTAAAAAAATTATGTAATATATAATTTGAATATATATATATATATATATATATATATATATATATGCGTGTGTGTGTGCATATAAATGTGTACAGAAATAAAGTATTGTGTAAATTTGCCATAGTATAAAGCAAGCAAACATATTTACAAACGAAACAATTATTGAAACAGTTCTACATCACACATTTACGTAGTGTGCTAAATAATCCTGACATAAGTAAGTAACAATAAAATTCAAATATTACAAAGCCTTGTAATAAACCACCAAGATTGTGCGGAATAGAAAGCAATATTCTAATTATTAAAAATATATTCAAATGACCTGCTTTGTTTGTACATCACGTAAATTCAGTCAATTTCTCTAATTTTTATAATAATAAAATAAAAAAATCTGAAATGTTTCAGATTTTAAATTACGTCCAAAGGGGCGTTTTTTTAACGTTTTGAGTGTTACCTTTATTTATTAAATATCATGTTCTTTGCACTTAAACCATAAAATTCAGTTCAAGAGCAATATCGCAAAATAATGTTAAATTAAGCATATCTTTAGAATTTCCGATATACACAGTCTCGCGAGCTGGAGATAAAAGTTTTTTTTTTTTTTTTTTTTTTTTTCTATATAACGTTGCCATTTCTCGCTTTTAAAGCATTGAGTTTGTAAATCAAAAATTCGTTAAAGTCTTACAAAATATAAAATCTATCATAAAAAACAAATTCCAAATTTGGGATTTTTAGATGCCCATATTCGCAGTAGGATTTCGTCATTCAAAATTCGATGGCTCTATGTACCATTGTTTTATCACAATGCGAGAAATAGACAATCATTTATGCAGATTTTTCATTATTTAATTTCTTCAAATATAATGCAGGACTCTAACATTTTGTGGCAACAGTTTGAAAAGTGAACCGACGTTTATGAGTCCGACGCAAAATCGCAAAACGAAAACAATAGTCCTTCAGGGACAAAGCCCCTTTGGACTAATAATAAAGGTCAGTAAACGAACAACTTTCTAAGCTAACTTTCTAACTTTTCTAAAATAAAAATGTCTCAGGTCAACTGTCCGGGAAAGCTACTAAACACTCATTTCGCGACAAAATTGGGCGTAATTTAATTACAATCTGATTGATTAATAATCAAATTACAATGTGGCTGCAAATACAATGGCTCACAAAAATGATCGGACACTTTGAATTTTTGTGCTCGTTAATGAACATAAGAGCTATAAATTAAAGCAAAAAGAAAGGCTTTTATTTTGATTTAATATAAATTCAACTTTTTTTTTTTTTTTTTTTGTAAATACATTTTCGAAAAGATGAAAATTAAATTCAAAAATCAGTATCGTTTGTTTAATGAGGAAAAGTATTATCACAAAAGTAATGGTTATAAAATAATTGTTAATAGCTCACAAAAATAGATGCCACTAAAAATGCACTCTTTTAGTAACAGCCAAAAAAGGACAAAAACTTACATTGCTTTTGCTTCTTAATATCTTGTGGGATTACATTTACACTGGATCACTTCATTTAATCTTCTGGGCATTGACTCCACCAAGTGTTTTGTTATTTTTGGACTTATTTTATGCCACTACACTTGAATCGCTTGTAACAGCTTTAAATATTATTAAAATCTTGTAGTTTAAATAATTTAAATAGATGAACATTAAGGTATTTGTGAATGGCAATATTTAAATATTTGAAACCAGACTCGAGTGCCACGTGCGACTCTCGCACGAAGAATGTAATTTATTTTTTAAATGCTAGTATTCTTTTTTCTTCTTTGTTTTGTATGTCGCCATATGAATGTTATATAAAGTTTTTTCTGTGTTCCATCATTGGAGTTACTTCATTTGCCAAAGAAGTATCACAGTCATAATTAATTTGGAGGCACCGGCGAGATCGAATAATCGTGCGTATTTTTATTTTATTAGTTCATCACTGAACATAATATTAGTGACACCAGGGAACAGCTTTAGTATAGCCCACCTTCAAAGTTTGGCGAATTTGGTTTGGCGCCAAAGCACATGAAATACGTTGTTTTGAAAAATGGTTGCCATCCAGATTTTCGACGAAACTCCGGTGTTTCAAAAAATGGCGGCCATCTTGATTTCACCAGAAATCGTGGAAATGGTTTACGACTATTATACACGATTTTAAGAGAAAGAAATATTAAGAAATAATTCGTAAAAAGGATTAAGGTTAAAAGGATGCAATTTTAAAAACAATACCGGAAACCTTTAGCTGTTTTACCTTAATAAATAATTTGGTAAAGGCGTAGAACAGGCTGCATCAATAAAGTTGAGAAGGCGGAGCTGTGTGACGTCCATAAACGGGCGAGAATAAGCTTGGGACGTCACAATGTATTTCTCGCATTTATGCTACGCGTAATTTCTATTTCCTCTTTAAAAAAAAAATAATGAATTGTTTATTATTGTAAATTAACATCAGATTCTTTCAATTTACATTTCTGAGCTTAGGCGTAACTGAAAATAAGTATAATAAATTGTTTTATTTTAAAATTATCATGATACAGTAAGCGAATTCTACCGGTTATTACAACGATAAAGAACGTCGCAGTCTCATACTGTATTTCATACAGCTTCAGTATTTTCAAATATTTTTAAGCTTTAGCATTTATACAAATAAAAAAAGTTTTTTTAATTAATACTCTGGAACATATCAATTTTATCATATTTACAAATTAACGTTTGCTACGTAACAAACATAATCCCTTATATACCAGTAAGTAGACAATTTTCATTATTTTCTAAAAATTTTAAACTTCACATTAATGAAAAACAAGGTTCTTAAATTCCTAAATCACATTATATTCTCTGTAGGCAGGCATACTAGAATTCTACACATAAATAAATAAAAAATTTAATTTCTCGCAATGAAAAAAAATATGATAATAAAATAAATACAAATTAGGAACACTAAACGCTTCACATACACACACAAATACAGTGTCTCACAAAAGTGATGGGACACTTGTGCTTTACAAAAGGAAACTGTAGTAAAATAAATTTAAAAAAAAACATGTAAAATTTTTTGTGGGTGTGTTTCATACTTAAATTTAGTAACAATTATTACATAACATACATTTTCTCAAAATATTAATTTAATAAAAATACAATTGTTTAGAACGGAGCAAAAAATGGCTCACATAAGTGATAGGACACTTACTTTTCCATCACATATTTATCCAAAAATTTTACTTTATAAAAGGTTTTAATATTTTGTAGGATTTCCTTTTACTTTTAAAACATGATTTAATCTTCTGGGGATGGATTCGACTAATTTTTTTGCGATTTATGGAGTGATTTTACCCCATTCTTCTTGAAGCACCGATTCTAATTGTTGTTTTGAAGAAATGGTGTGTTTGCGAAATTCTTCCCTGGGTTTTATCCACACCAAGATTCTACCGTCAGAATAAATTTATTAAATTTACTCTCATCAGCAAATATAACTTCATTCCAGTAATCAGAATTCTTATTTATGTTGGATTTTGCGAAAGCCAGTCTGAGGTTTCTATTCTTTTCACTCACGAAGAATTTTTTCCTGGCTGCTCTACCGTGATATCCAGTAGCATATCGAATTACTCTTATAATAGTCTCAGGAATTTAACAATTACTCCATATAATGCTTGTAAATCAGCAGCAACTTTAGGAGCACTCATTCTTGGAGTTTTTTTTTAATATTTCGAACGATAATTCGCTTTATTCCATTGGATAGCTTTGATGGTCGGCCAGGTCTTCTTTTATCCTGAATCATATGATTCTTTTTATATCGTTTAATGATATTGAAAACTGTTGAATGACTCAGGTTAACTGTTTCAGCAGTTTCTATAATAGAATTTCCACGTTCAATATGCAAATTAATAACTAATTTTCAAATTTCAGGCAAAGTTTCTTTTCGTTTAGCATTCATGGCTGCACAGAGATAAAAAAACACAAAAATTCCAAAACAAACTGGAGAGAAATACTGCAGACGATTTTATAAATTATTGCCAATTGCTTTTGAGTAAAAATAAAAAACCCCAACAATATTTTTATTGCTTACTTCAGACGATTTTTGTTTCATAGTACGTAGTAGTA